CCTTTTCCCTCCCAATCTTACAGTCTTTAGTCACAACCGATGCTTGAGGCATTTTATCAGATTTTGCACGGCTTCCTCTGGAGACGCAAAAAGGCTCGACTATTTCCTTCCACATAGAATTTGACACCTGTAGACAGGCTTAGTGGGAGAGATGCTTCTCAAATGCAAGTTGCTATAGAGACTATCTTTTATCACACAATCAGTAGTAAAACTAATTTACTCACTGAGGCTTTGTGTTCTCTAATTTCTCAGCATTGCTTGGCCTTTAGTGTTAAAGTCTGTATTTTTAGGTCTTTAATTCGCATCATTCACCTACTTTGCTGAAGGAATCAAAGGTTTGATTTGATGATTATCTTCCTCTCTTACACTTTATTGCTGACACTAACCCTGCTGTTATCGCTCACAACTACTTTGTTGGTTATGCCTTGACAGTGGGAACTTCTTGTCTTCAGAACCAAAGAGCTTCAAAAAGAAACATTCCTCATAGACTTTGGTCCATATTGGCATCAAGTTATCATCCAGTTGCTTCAGATTTGTGATCTATAGATTTAAACTGGACTCAGGTTCCTCATCGAGAGTAAAGGTCTCAAACTCCAAATCTAAAACAACTTTCAGAGGTTTCTGCTTTTTCTCACCTCTGAGGTTTTCCATCTGAAGCGGCAACTCAGACATTTTATTGAACATTAGTCAAGGGAAGCAGCTTGACGTCGGCTCTTGAGCAATGATGTTTTACGACTAAAATGATTATTTATAATAATTAGGCTGAAAGCAGTAAGTGTGCTTGAATTACAGACTGGATCTTGAGAAAGTGTTGTACTGCAGTAAAAGATAACTTTACATTGAGTCTTTCTACTATTCTCTAGTGGAAGCTGCCTGTGAATTTGTATGCAGAATCTATGTGGTCTTATCCACCTCAGGAAACACCCTTAACCTTCAAAGGTCATGCTTTCTAAAAATTGCCCTGTTATAGATCTTTTGTTTGACTGCTTTGGGGGCATTTTTCTGCCACAGTTGGCCACAGTAATTTGGTTTCTCAGACCTCTGCATTAAAAATGTTCCCATCGGTGACATGTGGTAGTCTGAGCAGAATCTGAGTTGGCTGTACATGGGGAGGGGGATGGAGGCTGTGGCTGTGCAGTCCTTTTTAAAGGAGCCATTATTCCTTGCATGTCTGGGACAGCTCCAGGCTTTGGTGGTATGTGTGTGTGTAATGTAAATGTCATCACCGAGGGGTAAGGATGCTACTCTCCACAGACCGCTGCATGACTGGACATTTATTTTGATTGCCCAGACGTGTCTGCAGACTTGTTTGGTTTTGGTGGAAATGCTCATCCATAGTCGATTCTCTGCAACACAAACCTCTGGAAGAAAAGTGTAAAAAGTACGACAAACTCACTACTTTTTTTTAAAAAAAAAGCTTCACTTTTTGTTGAACTATTATCAAATTCTGGCTGCATAAAAATAAATCCATTTGTGCTATAAATCCTGGGATGAAGTTCTTTTTGGTGAGCAGTCATGTTGATGTTGAGCAACACAGTGATTACCCTGGATGAGCATGATGGATGTTACCTCCAGCTCCTATTAATTCCAGTGCTGCAGTCTATTTTGCACTGTAAAGCCCCAGATTCTTGAAACCTGCCTCCGGGCGCTTTTACTTCCCAACATCAGAGTTCAAATCTCTGCCAACATCCATATGAGGTACAGAGATTGAGGTCTAATAGGAGTCATCCACAGCTGAAACCTCTAACTTCCATGTTATCCAAGCGCTCTGCCGCCATAGGAGTACCCGGTGAGTGGCAGCGCTGCGTTGGCTTGTTTGGGGTTGAGGTGAAGCTGTTTTCCTTCACATTTAACCTCCCTCATTGTGACATTTCTCCCTGCTGCTATGTGCCAGAGGTCTGATTGTTTTTAGCTCTTTTTCTTCCTCTTACCTGTCCTGTTTCTTTTCAGACTTGGTCTCAAGCTGACAGTGGGGGCCGGTGGACAAAAGAGAGGGGCGGGGGGCGCTAAATGACTTTCTGTTGTTCAGCTGAAGGTGGACGTTTATCAGGACAAGGGGAGCTTGTTTCACCGCGCTACCTGTTGAGAGGAATGTCACAAGGATTTTTCACGCCACCCACAGGCCGCTGGTTACCAGCCAATAGAACAAATAGCTGATTTGCAAAGATGTAGACATGTATTTTATTAAGTTATCCTGTGCTGATTGAAGGTTAAAGGAAAATTATCAATATTGGTAAAGTCAGATTGATAAAAAAAAAGTGTACAGGTTATTTCAGAATGTGAAACTCAAAGCTTTGTCATGCAGAGTGAAATATTTTAAACATTTAATCTGTGTATTCTTGATAAAGGATGATGGAAATCAATTGCTTCATTCTAATTTTCTGAGTCACTGAACTTTGGTTTTTGTGTGTCACCATCAAAAATATTAGAAATAAAAGCATGAATTATTTCACTCTGTGTAATGAATCTAATCTGAGTTTCACTTCTGAAATGAGTGACAAATGTGGAACTATTTAATGATATTTTAGAAGTACCTTTATGCAAGCATCAGCTTAAATCTTGCAACAAATCCCCACCTCAACTTTGACTAGGCCATCCTAACAGGAAGTGTCAGGTTGGGTAATAGTCGAGTGTGAAGGTCTCAAGTCTGAGCCAACCTGCAGCAAATCCTCTTGCAGGATTGTCCTCCATATAAGGCAATCCATCTTCCCATAAACTCTGACCAGCTTTGCTGTCCCTGCTGAAAATAAAAACTTAAAGCAAGATGCAGCCACTGCCATGTGTCCTGTAGGCACGGAAAGTGGATTTAATCTGAGGCCTTAAGTGACAATGTTGGTATTTAAGAAAAATCCTTCACATTACAGGACATTCCTTCATTTTCCACAAACAAACTCTGGAAAAAAAGCTGTGGGATCTCGTGATCTAATCTGCCTCACTCTGTTTTGATGCTCAGCTGTCATCGTGTCGACCTTTATCAGGCTGAGAGTAAGAAGCAAGCCGAGCCGAACACAATCTCTTATTATGATCAGCTTTCATTAGCGGCATGAGAGAAGAGGCTCCTTTGGCCTGAGTAATAACACTCGCTTACTACTGAATTCAATACAACACGAGACGAACTGATCGTTCAACTGTGAAGTTTTTTTGTCTGGTTTGATAGCGAATAGTGATGGACAGAAGTCCAATAAAGCTTTTTTATTACTGCAGAGCCATTCCAGATGACCCTCGGTGATACCGGCCGGCTGATGAAGGGCAGCAGGGACTTAGTGGAATTAAACCACTTTAGGAGTGCAGTGCGGGGCGTCGAAGCTGGTCACAGCCGAGATGACGGTGGTAGGAGATGCTTCAGCCTCAGCACTTAATAAACTTGACTGGCTAAAGTTAATAAGTTAGTCTAAACTCATTTAGGAAGTACAACTGAAACAGTTAGCTCTCTGGGGTTTAATCGCTTAAGGAGGACCAAAAACTAAACAAGAAATTAAGTTATGACTAACAAAGTAGTCCAAAGTTATACAGAACATATGCTAATCGCTGGTTAACAAATATAAAATGTCAAAAGAATACGTTAAGGCATTTAATGCATGTTGCTTACAAAGTAGTTTTTTTTTATAAAGTTTTCTGTAAAAAGAAAATACAACTTATAGGTGAACAGCCGAGCCATGCTAATGGTCAGGAGAGGAAAACGATAAATCATTTAAAAACGCTCCATCTTCCTCCTACCACTTCTTGTTTTCTTAATCCTTCTTTATCTTTCTGCCAGTAGAAATAATCATGTGATGTGAAAAGTTGTTTCCAGTGCAGTTTGGCAGAATAGACAAATTTGTATACACTTGAGAAACCACCCCATCCTCGCGCAAAATCGCTTTTTCAAAAAATGTGAGGCTTTTTCAAAATTTTGTGCAATTTTACAGTCAATGGAAACACAGCTGGATTTCTACTCTACCCAACTACTGATTCTGATCATGTTGATTCCTGGCAACATGCAACACTTGCTGCAGCTTTGCAGATCCATCATAATTTTCACAATCTATCTTTCTTAAATTCTTATCCACTCTTCATCAACTATGAAGACGAATGTGCACTGGCATGTGTCATGATGAGGAGACAATCTGGTAATCGTTTCACCAGTCAGTGGTCATAATCTGATGCTTAATTAGTATTCTGTGAAATTAACTTTCTTTTTAAATGGAGTTAAATGAATCAATGTATTCACATCGAGTAAGAACTCGCATTTCCTTGAGCTTTTTAAATTTGCATTTCTGTAAAAGTTTGATTTTGCTTATTAATCAGATCAGTATTTAACAGCGTATTGATGCTTTTTTTAGGTCTGACTATTAAGAAACATCACTTTCCTCACTTGAGAGCATATATTTTAGTATCTGAAGTGACGACTACCTCAAAAACGCTAAAAATACACAACCCTTCCACTTTGTTTTCAGGCTTCCGAGGTCTGAAAATATCTCAGTCAGCCAGTAGGATTTGAAGGGGATTGGTACATCACAGGGTGAGCTCAGAGTGGATAGATCCAATCCTCCCATCTTTAGCTCCACTCAACTTCAACCTCAAAGCAAACTTTGTTCTCTGCAAACGAGAAATCGATGAAAATATTTCAGCTTTGCTTAGTAATTAAATTATATTTTTCATATTGTATTCAAATAGAACTGCCAGTTGAGTGAATGGTTAAATGTATACTGTAATGTTTGACTATTTTTAACTTCATGCCTCTGAGGAAATGACTGTCAGACCTTCCAGTCAGAAAAGAGAAGTGAGGAGATTGAAAATTGTCAGATATTGAAAAAACCAGGGAATTCTATTGAACTTAGAAATATCTATTACAGTCAGCAGATGTAAAATTCATCTATTTTTCTTAAATATGCCACATTATCTGAACTGAAGTCACAGATATAGGTTTGGTGTGACTTATACCTATTTGTTTTTTTTCTTTGGATCATATCATCCACTTATGGGGGACAAACACTTTCACAACTCTTGAAGTTGCGTACCTAGCGTGGTCCTGGCCGGCGTGGCGTCGCTTTTGATCCAGAATGAAACCCAGGAGAGAACCACAGTGAGGATACAGGGGATGTAGGTCTGGATAGTGAAGTAGCCCATCCGTCTGCTCAGGTCAAAGTAAACCGTCATCAGCACATAGTCGCCTGTAAGAGACATGACAGACAGCAAACCTCATCAGCTGAGTTCATTTTTGCTAAATTTCAGATAAATCAGTCCTGGCTTGTAAATCTGCTCAAGCAAGAGAGATCTGCTCAGTCTTTGATGGATGGGAATTGTTTATAATTCCTTATAATCTTCATCAAAAGGCAGAGAGGGAAAGACAAGGACATGAGATGGAAAGTAGATAAGACTAGAGACAGAGGGAGACGCGGTGTCTGCCTGTCATTCTGCTGTCTTCATAAACATTTTAATTGGCAGTGAGTCCAAGATACTGAGCTCCATTTCATGGAAACTGTTGCTTTGAAACCAATAAAGGTTTTACGCATTTAAGTGCATCTTAAAACATAAGTGGAGGTCAATTTCTAACAAATCTGCCAGAACTTGATGAAAACGCTGAATGAAAGGAAGAAGACAACCTTTTGTCTGCTTCACTTCTCAATTCTGAAAAATTGCAGGTGCACATAAGGAAATAAAGCGTCCTCCCTCAAGTTTATTATTATTCAGTGATTATGCCTTTTATGTGTCAGAAAATGGCTTTAATCAGTTTTTATTCATACAGCCGAATCACACAAACAAATGACGTAACAAAAGGCTTGTTGGTTTCTGCTAAACGCTGCAATGCTGCAGAGAAAACTTTAACATCATCAGCATGTTTTTCTATTTTTGATAAAATAGTTTCATTAAATTTATTGTTCTCTTCAGGCAATGAGTTAGAATTTAAACCACCTTCATGCATTTCTCTCATCACAACCACAAACTTTGAAATCTCAGTTTTATTGACTGAACCGTTTTAACAAACAATCCAAAATTAATACACTTGCATCAACTTCTGCATAGACCTGAAAGAAAAGATGTTTACAGATCCACTTGTACTGAGTTACTTCAGCAAGAATGGGCAAAGCTGTCAGTGTCTAGATGTGCAAATTTGCTAGACAGAAGACATGAAGCTCCAGGGATTTACAAAAACTAAAACATTATGTTTGTTTTACACATAACCTGAATAAAACACTGAGGTTTGTGGCTGTAGCAACGCAAAACAAGGGAAAGTTCAATGGTGTGGAACTGTCTCTGTTCTCCATCATCCGAACACATTTGTTAATTTCACAGTTCCTCTTGAATATTATCAACTATACCAGCAGTAGGAACATTTCTCCACTCCCAGATAAGTTATCTGTAGCCGTAGGGGAGCAGCTTCTGTTTTCTAAGTGTGCATTCTAGCTAACAATCGCCGTATGTACAGTGTTTGGACAGCAGCCGCCCCTCTGTTTGCACACTTTTCCTGAGCACTTATTAGTCCAAGATGCTTTCAACACGCTATTCTCCGACTCCGCCGTGCCGTACGGTCGGATCCGCTCTGTGTGGAAGCAGCTGAGAATATTTTCAGCAAAACTGCTTCGCTAATGAGCTAAGGACGTGTCAGCTGAATGGTTTATGAGACAGAATACAGTGTGAAGAAGAGGATTTTTTTTCCAAACCGGGTTTGAACTTTTGAAAGAAAGTCATTGTGAACTGAACTACTCTGCTCGATGTGAACATTTGTTTGTCCTCCAGTGTTCAGTTTCATCTTGACAACAATTTAAAACTGAAATAATACATGAACTATATTCCCTTCCACGAACCAGAGAGATTTTCCAGAGAACAGAATAAATGTGACCATTTTCTTCTCCCTACCAACCGACTGCTCTATTTGAGAAATTACTCTAGATGGAAGGTTTTGTACTTTATAATAAAACCACTCAGGAACTAGAGACTCACACATCTAAGACTAATGTCCATTTTCCTCCTTTGTTCCTACCTCTGCTCTGTTAAGGGGTCATCAGACCTGGAGCAATGACCCTCAAAGCAAAGTGCTGCTCCACTTTTAAGGGTCTTTAACTCTTGGATCTTATGGCTCCATATAGAGTGGCCACTTTACTGCTGAGGAGACTCCAGAGCAACAGGGAGGTCAGCAGGAGGGCCTGGGCTTGACTACTGCTTTGGATGCATGAGAATTTAAACACAACTATATTATTTTTGCAGATTAGGCATACATTTTTGTAACTACAGGAGAATTTACGGATTCTTTACATCTTAAGAAATGTCAGTCTTTTCATCTGCTCTTGAAGTTCACTGCATCATGCGGTGAGTTTTCTTCTTGATCTTTTTGCCTCCTTCCTGGATTGGGATGGATGGGACTGAAGTGACCACACAAATGAGTCTTTTGCATTTTTGGCGCGAGTGCTCATCTCTTCTACATGCGGCGTGCTTTAATCACGGTTTTCTGGGTTCCAGCTGAGACGCTGAAAGCTCTCAAGAATATGCCGAAACAAAGAACGAGAAATTGAGAAGTTGTATTACAAGAAACGGGACGGAAAGCGAGGGAGATCCAGGTTTTTCATTAGAGATTCAAAACTCAAGTAGGGGCATGTGAAGAAAAGAAAGAAAATGATTAGTACCTCTAGTTCTCAAATGCAAATTTAGAAGAGGACTTAACTCCCACAGCTTTGAGTGAATTTTCAGTGGGATGAAGAAGCAAAACACCAAAGTCTTTAATATTCCTCACTGGGACATTTTCAAAGAAGGATCTGCTGAATTGTCCACTCTGTCCTCATTAGAAAATCCCCAATATGGACGCGTTTATGAAAGATGAAGAGAGAAATCAAGCAGTAGATTCAGAGTGTAGATAGTCAGGAAACTAAACACTTTTGAAGTTTGTCATGATGTAAATTAATGATAGGTATTTTTAGCTTGGAAACTAATCATCATGCATGTGCAAACGACGCCGCGGCAAAGTGAAACAGGAAAAAAGAAAACGAGGTAATAAATGAGAAAATGGCCAATTTTCTTGAACAGCATGAGGTAAATGTGTAGGTTTGCCGTTATTTTTGAGCATCTCTGCAGAAAATGAATTTGGTGGCATTTTGACAATGCAGTGGGAGAAAACGTGTAATTTGTAATCCCATCAGTGTGGCTCAGGATGAAAGCTCTCAGGCACCATTTCCTATTGTGATCACAAACATTAATTTGAGAATTAATCTCGTTATGGTGAATCTAAAAAGTGGACACACTGTTAAAATGCAACGCTTTCAATGTAAACAAATGAAATCATGAAAAACTAATTTGTAGCATTCAAGAGGAAAAACAGCTAAAAAAAATAGAAAATCATAGTTTTGTGTTTTTTGAATAAGTTTTTACTTTATTGTAAGCCGTAATTTAAAGTACAGAGAATGAAGAACCAAAATTGTCTGACAATTAAAATATAAGATGAATTAAAAATATTTTCTGCTGACAGTAGTCTCCAGATAATATAATGGACAAACACCAGCTAATGACATGACACTCCAATCAACCACATTTTGTCCTTCCACTCAACTTTCTATGAACAACCAACTTCTTTAGCAACAAGCTGACTGACCCAGACTGAGATCATCTAGACTCAGGAAATGTTTCCCATGTTTTGAGTTAATTAGTTTATTGGATTGTGATGCAAGGAGCTTATAATGTTTAATATTTCCACAATATTTTTAATTTACTGAAAGATAAATTTTTAAAGCTGTCTGCGAATTGTTTCTTTAGCTAAAGTATGAAAATGTGGATGACCTACTGAGATGAAATTTAAATTCACACAGTGGAGTCAGACTGAAAAGTACGATACAGATCTATTTTACATTATATATGAAAAAGAAGTTATAGCTGAACTTTTTTCTGCATTACAGAAATCTGTCTTTTAAATATGTTGTGTATTATCCTGATTAGATCTAAAACTAAAGCTCAGTTATCAGTATTGTTGACGAATCTTCGGTCTGCAATTCAGTAACATTTAGCCAAACAAAATTGAGTTATACAGCTAATTTCCTCTGAGCTCCCCCATAATTCGATGCCACTCCCTGTTATCCATTTCCTATCTGTAATCCTGTTCCTGGAATATTCATGAACAGAGGTTCAGCTGTTAGAAAGCTGAATCAGGTCACATTATGCAGATCTGGGCCCGTCTCACTGAAGACAAAGCTGCGTATGGCACCGAGCAGGAGGAATGTACACCTTCTAAACAAGGTTAAAAGGGGTTAACGATGGGTCTGTGTCCTCCGTCTTTCAATTATTTAAGCCGTCGGAATCGATTTTTATTTTCAAAGGTTTAAAGCATTAAAAATGCATAAAGAGCTTTGATCACATGTGGAAGCAGCGAGATTTTACAGTTGTCTAAAGATTCAAAGCTACAAAAATACTTAGGATACAAACCATAGGAATGAGCAGGAGAGAAGGAGGAGTGAATAATTAAACTTCCTTTTTAAGCTTTAATCCTAGTGATTAATGTCAGTGAAAAAACCTATTTGGCCTTTTACCCGAGGGGAATACTTATGAGCTTTGAAACAGTAGAGATATGATTACATCTATATGCATGGAGCTAACGCTAATGTTAGCTTCTGGAGCTCCGAGGGGTGAACAGTTCAACTTGCAGATGTCAATATCTGTAATGCAGAATGGAAACAAAAGTCATTGTGTGTCGAGCTGACGAGCTTGAAGAGCCTTCCTTGACCCTCGGTTGAACTTTGACCTACCTGCCGTGGTCCTAAGCACGTCCGTCGTGTTTCGGAGCCCCATGAAGTCAAACTGGTAAAGCCTCCAGTATTTCTTGTCCGACGTCTCCACCGAGTTTCGCTTCCACTTGTACACAATCTCATCCCGCGGGTAGCCATCTGCAAAAGCACACATTGAGCGAGTCAGTAGTGTGTGAGTGTGTTCTGGAGGATAAATGGCTAAAGCACAGAAAAAAGGATCGAAATAAAACTTGAAGGCAGGAGAGGATTTCTGCAGCTATGCAGTTTTTTTGTGGTATGCATGATTTATACAAAATTATACAGCAGATTTCCATTGGAGATTTAGTGGAATGCAGACCAACTGAGCAATCAGTCTTAACTTGTTAGCTTGAACTCTGCTGAGGCACAACTATTGAGAATAAATACTCTATCATGTAATCGAATGTAGCATTTATTTAATGTCAGTGGAATGGCTTCGCAGGCTTCCAGCTCAATCCCATTATGCTTTCATGGCAAAACTTTGAGTCCAATTTTAGCGTCAATATATAAGCATGAGTGACAAACTTGTCACACTTGAGTACTAACTCTAAAATCTCTAGAAACATTCAGGATCAACTGGTCAGAAACACAAATACTTTACAGCTCCAGCAGCTTAAAATAAGTCACAAAGCCTCTCAATAGTCAGGCGTGTGCTTGTGAAAAACAAGGATATTTACAATGGAATGTGTTTACAATGGAATTAGACGTCAGGGGAAGAAGAGAAATCACAATGACACAAAAAATGATTCTTTTCTAACTTTTTTGAATACTAATTTAGTTGAACATTATTGCCATCATTTTTCTTCTGGCCTTGCACAATTATCTTGACTGCAGACGGTGTTATCGTCGTGCTGCCAGTGTGTCTTTACAGCTACAAAATGTTTCATACCCTCTAAAAGCCCCCTGAAGCAACATGTTCTTTCACAATGCTATAAATTACAGCCTTCTGAGGCCTTGGCTCCAATATCCTCCCTGTCCGTTCTCCACTAACACCCGCTTGTCTTTCACCGCAAACAAGTGCAGCTAAATGTGAAATTTGGATTCTTTGCCTGCATCTCTTCCATATAATCAAGACTAACACATGATATTATTCTCAATTTTCAACCGGCCCCAAATGATCACACATTTGCAGCTATTTCTAACGTTCCTCTGCAATATTCAGATGACAGGAGTAAAAATGAGTTGTACACAGAACTTATTTCAGTGCCTTAAAGAGCAATTTGCCACAAAGGGACATTACACCCAGTGTAGCGTTTGGAAAGTTTTTGTAGGCGTCCAAACCTCAACAGAAGATCAGTGAGTTTATTTTTAGTGTTTGGTGTTTTTGGAGCTGCACTGATACCTTTTTAATTATACAACACAGAAGTTGTGAAGAGCCTGAAGTAAAAGTTATACATGAGCTGACAGTTCAGCTCATGTATAGTCGCCAACATGGCGTCCGTTTCTCTGATCAGTCTGGGTGATTGAGAGGAAGAGGTCACCAAATGGCAGACCACACTCCAGTACAGACCTCCTGCTTTGTGTCTGATGACAGATTATTTGTGTGTCAGAATAATAGAGAGTTGGACTTTAAACAGTGGCTCTTAGTTTGGTGAAGGAGAGCAGGATTGGGGTATTTATTTATCTTCTCATTTTAGATGAGAAGATATGAATATTAGATATAATATTGTGATATAATGCAAAGTTATCCATCTGTGGTAAGAAGTATTTTGCACATCACTTTTTTCTCCATATAGAAGAACGTTTAGCTCTGGCAATGCTTCAATCCCAGCCAACAGGGTCTTCAACCATGACCCCTAATTCAAGCTTTTACTTTCAACAAAACCTGTATGTGCTTTATGGTGTTATTAGACAAGAAGAGAAAAGTACATATTTTTATTCCAAGTGACCCAAGTTGTTTCTTTTGTGCTAACTTGTTCCAGACTGTATTTTTACAGAGTGGAACATTTTTGCAAGCATTAGAAATAATAGATTTGTGCAGCTGCCATCCTTTTAAAGGTCAGTTCCTGCAGCAACTCTGAACCCATTTCCTGCTCATATGTCCAACTTTTATAGACTCCCCACTTCAGCCAGACTTTGTATTCTGTATACTCTGAAATTATGCCTGTCTTTGAGCGAACCCTCAACATTACAGCTTATATTGCAGACATTCAAACATTTAAAGCCGGCAGTAAAGTTTTATAAAGAGAATAAATGTGCAAAAATTCAGTTTTTTTCAATTTAATTTAAATTTTTCTTCATTTAATAAAAGTGAAGTGAATGTAGCATGACAAGGGGACAGTCAGAAGTCGCAGTGAATTACAAGTACTTGACTTTCCTGTTTGATGAAAGATCACCTGTGCACATAAAAAACCCTCCACTATCTTAAAAGCCTCTCTGTCATCATACCCAGAGCCACTAATTGAAAATTCTTTCCAGTGTTTCACACTGCTTGCATAATGTACTGTCAGGGGTACATCTGCTCTGAAAAAAGCCCTTAAAATGAATGAGAAAAGATCAGCGAGGCTATCAACACATCCATCAGGGTCGTAATGTTCATTCTCAGTAAATGAAACTGAATGTGGTCATTATGGGTCTGCTTGTGATTTGCTTAACGATGAAGAGACGATGCGATTTAAAAACCTCACATTAGGCTTCGGCTGGATGTTGACACAGTAACAGAGAAATGCTTCAGCTGCACAGGTCAGTGGTGCAAAAGTATTCAAACCTCTCCATCTTGTTCCTTTAACGTTTCGTCACATGAACACAAACATTGATGTGTTTTATAGGGACAGACTGACCAAATCCACCTTAGAATCAATTCAAAAACCAAGTAGAGCAGCCGAAAGGCCCAAGTTGGCAAAAGATTTGACGGCAAGAACTACAATGGAAACGATTTACATAAAAATATAAAGTCTCTAAGAGACATTCTTAGAGTTCTCCATCCAATATCATTGATTTTGATCGACTTCACATAAAATAATGAAGAGATGTAAATTAATACTGACCTGCTGGTCAGTAAATGTAAGGATACAGATACTTTTTAGCGTCAAACTGCTGACACTTTAGGTGTTTTTTCTTTGTACACTTTGTTTCTTTGTATTGTTATCTACAAAATACATTGATTACATATTAACATGATTTGTGTGCATTTTTGTGAAACAAAGTCTTTGAAGACAATTTCAAGAGGGAATCTGAAACTTATGATGCTAGTATTGATCCGATAGTGATGCTGACTTATTGATATTTTTGGATCGATCTGCCCACCTCTTTCAGAGACATGAAGCAGCTGAAGCCAAACATCGTATGCAAGTTATTCCCTCGGTGGGACCGAAAATAAAGGCGCTCCGCACTTATCAGATTTTTTTTTTTTTTTTTAAACAAGTATTATTTTCCTTCCAGTCTACAAATACTCCACAATTGGTGTTGATTCATTAGGTAAAATCTAAGGGAACTGAAGTTGACAAGTGTAAAAGTTAAAGAAGAGTGAATAGTTTTGAAAGTCACTTTATGTTTCTGCCATGGAGCAAAACGAGGACTCCATACCAGACATCACCCCAGTATGCTCAACTGGTCTCCTCATCTCCTCTTCCTACACAGCAGATCTTCATCTTGGAAACCATCTGCTGCGGATGACATGTGCCATTTCCACAGCAACCGCCAATAGTCGCAAAGCGAAGTGAGACGTTGTGGAGGAAACACTTGTTGCTCAGTTTTCATGCTCTGCAGTGAAGACTAACAGATTTGTAAAGGTTAAGACTGCAGAGAAGAGTCTGGAGAGCAGATGAGATTTTCCAAAAGAGTTGACTCATTGCTGCAGACACGTCCATCTGCGCCGCCGTCTCAAAAATTAGATTCATACACTTGGAAAGTAAAACGCGGTGGACTTCGCAAAAACAGACATGTAACAGATGTTTGTTGTCGTGGAGAAGACTCTGCTTCGGTTTGAGACATCGTTAAACCTCGTTGATTAGAGGAGGAGAGGCTACATCAAAATCAAACGCAACAAAATTAAACCGATTTTAATTAAAAACTGTTTCAGGAAAGTATTTTGATTTTTATACGTCTGGATGCAAACACTTCCAGCGACAGTCAGTGGCTTCCTCAGTAATAGCAGTTCTGTAATATCTGCCTGCGTCACAGTGTGAACAAATTAAATATAACTAAATGAAAACTACATGAACTGCTGCAGGAAGGCATCGATAATGAGCAATGATAAACACTGACATCTGATCTGTAGAGATTTGCTCCAGAATAAGGTTTGTAACATGATGAATATTCATTTTGCTTTATTAAAGTTTTATTTGATTGCGGACAGAACATTGAGGAATATAATTTTTTTAAGGTGTTGATCTGCACATGGACCTTCTAGGCAACGGCTAATTTGCAGGCCGAGTCCCTGGTTTGGCTTTTCAGAGGTTTAAATTGTATGATTACAATGCAAATTTATTTTACAATAATCAATAAAATGTTAGAGAAAAACAACCGCAAAGGATTGTATTAATGAATTTATCCGTCAAGGATTGTTTTTCCAAGATAAAAAATAAAAAATAAAATAGGTTGTTTGGAAAATGTTTTAAAAGTTTTTCTTTTTCATTTTTATCCTTCCAAATCTGGGGACATATTTAATGAAAAAAGTTAAATTTGTCTCTTGTATATTGTTAAATTTCTTAGAAGCTGATTAGTTTTAAAATAACTTTAATGACCTGCTGTGGAACAAGTAGACAAGATATTTAACAATCGTTTTTTTCAACTTAATTATCAGATAATTACATTTTCCTGAGTTCAAGGATCCTTGTCAGAATAAATTAAATTACAGGTTTCTGGTTCCGTTTAATGCAGTGAGTGAAATCCAAACCGTTTCAAAATTAGGGGACAGCTTTAATTAAAATAACTAATTATTTGATCTACCACAAACATTTCAACAAATTTGGACATAAAAGTGATTTGTCTGTAATTACAAATTCAAATCAGAGTTCAGAATGTATGCAATAGTATACCATCTAACTCCAAAATATATATCCTTTGCTGTTTTTATTTAATAAAGGTAATAGAAGAACTAAAACTTGGAACATTATCCTCATCCTTCTGCTGAGAGAAACCAGGTTTATATGAGCAGCGAGTCTTTGAATGTTGCAGCTGTAGGGCATCATAGTGGAACAATGATACTACAAAGCCTTAACTGTGGTCTTCTTCACTGCAGGCAGGTGATTTTACTTTACTTTTTCATTTTATTCTTTTAAAATTGTTGGTTGAGAAAGATGAATACCATAAGAAGCAACTATTTCAACACTTTGAAAGCTTCAAAGTAGGGAACTCTCAAGAAGAGAGTCGATTGAGACTTTCTGATTCAACCTCTTCTGGTAGAAATTTCTAATCTATAATCAGAAAATACTGAAGTTCTGAGTGCATTTCAGTGATAGTTTTGACTAGGATGCCAACTTATCTGACAGGAAAAGGAAAAAAAGAAACTTGAATCATGGCAGTAAACCAGCCCAGGAATCTTGGATGATTTAATAACCTTAGTGCAGTTGAGTTCCTGGCCAGCTTTCAGTTCAGAAGAGGTAAGAGATCATTTTCTCTCGATTGTTTGGAAAAAGTTCTGCTGTCGAACATGAATAGAAGCTTCACTGAGACAGAGCGACATGACAGCCTCATAAAATATTCCCGTCTATAGAGAGCTGATCACCAATCCCCTGATCAGTGATTCCCTTTAAAACAGCGTACAGTTCTACCTGAAACATTGATGTTTTCACATAGGAACCCAGTGCAGCCCATGGGACAAACCTACACCAACGTCTCTTCTTTTTACCTTATCTGGCTTGATAAAGTTGTGTATATGCATTGCCGGGCATCAGCGTGTTTCTATGGATGTGTATTTTTGGTGCCAGGACTCACAGCTGGAGAACTCCAGAGGACAGGAGTGTTCGTCCATTGGGAAATTATGAAGCTGCAGCTGGCATTCTGCGTTGATGGTCATCCTGGAGAGAGAGGGAGAAAGAGAAGACTGGATTAGATGGAGGTGCTCAGGGCTCTCCAGTTCCTTCGCTGAGCAGACTGTGAAGCACATTGTGAGTGCACAAGACTCATTACTGCTTTTATCACAGGATGCACTTTTTGGCACTGGAGATTATGAGGCACTGGCTTGAAACCAGATGGTACAGGATCACACTCGATTGCACGGTTGATGCGCGAAATCCCTCAAAATGACACGAGTCTTTCATCATACGAGTTAAACGTGCTTCTCCCCCCTGCAGTTAGGTCATGGTTCAAAGGCATGTCTGCTTCTAAAATCAGAGGTACTTTGCTCTGATCACTTGACAAGTCAATACACCAGATGTTCAGGAGAATCTGGGATGTCGGTTTTTATTCCCCCTTGCAAATTGTAAGCCTAGATTTAGCTCATTTTCTCCTCATACATGAGCTTATAACCAAAAGATTCTTTTCTCAGAGACAATAAGGGTTCTGAAAATGAGATCACACACCAGCTTTTTTTCCCCCAGCTTGCTACACATTGTTGACTCTTTGTCCTTCATACAATTTCTAATTAATTGCCTGACTTGGAGCACAAAAGAGGAGTCTCAGTCGAAGCAGGAGGAGGGCTGCCTCACTCGCCTTGTTTGTAGGTGAACAAATTGCACATGATGTGCAATCTCAATTTGCATACTTGCTCGCTTCCATTCTTGTCAGGAGCCTGGAAGTCTAGATTTGGTAGAGACTGTAAATTAATGAGAACAAGAAGCTGCTTCGAAGCAGAGAGGTGCGTCTGAGAGAAGGCTCTTCAGAAAAATGCGCCCTAAGACATGCCTGTTTTATAAACTAATATCTGTTACATGAAAGTCATTATTAAGTAAGTTACAGGGACATGCACTGGTGTCATTTTCTAAGAAAACAGAAACATGTTTTAGTTAGCTAGTAATTGAGATGAGTTTCTGGAAACCATCACTTGACAGTTTAGTGTAATTGGCAGGCATGTCGATTCACACAAACATAAATTACAAAAATTATAGTCGTTGACATGAAACATTTCAATTCTGGATGTCTTAACTTTGATACAGAATCATTTTCCTGTATGAGAAACATAAGAATCTCTCATGCCTAAGGATTCCTCTAAAAAGTATCAACATTTGGTGCAACATTGAAGTTTTATAAACTTATGAAATTATGATTTCATTAAATCAAACCAACCTGGCTGTATTATAAAAAGTTATAACTCAACCAGGAGATCACAAGAGAACCCAGAATCGTATCTAAAGCACTGAAGTCTGTGTTAATGATTCAGCAAAACAAAAACTGACACACAGGGAAAATTAAACAAGTTGAATCTTTATAAACAGGGTTTTAGTTTTCAGATAGAAGCCAATGTCATTGTTTTTCCTTCCTAGGGTAACTTTGCTCTCTGCAACACCTTTACATCCTCCCATCGTCAAGCTTAATATTTGCTAACCAGCAGGTACTGAAGCCCTAAAGCTGCTGCTCACATTTAATCTGCAGTAGCTACAGAAAAAATTTAAAAATGAGGTCAATTAGCGAGAGTTAGCAACAGAGAGCGGTTACAAAGAGTTGAAGTGACTCCAAAGACTCTGTGCAGCTGAAGGGAACAGCTGTGTCGGGCGATAACCATCTGTCACGACGGGTGACCCTTTCCTATCAAATGTAATGACCGGGTCTATTGTTTGTGCAGGAAAAAAAGAGATCTGTGCAGCTTTAAATTCTTGCTGTTTTGATGCAAAGCGGTTCAGTTTTGGCCCATTCATCCCCTGCTGATAAGAAGCACGTTCAGAAGGCCGTGATCAGTGGTATTAACCTCTGCAACAGCACAAATTATCCCCCTACAATCACGGGTTAGGCCCCTGCTACTAATTAGACATTTTTTAAGTGAGCCTTTTACCCTTCTGACATTCAAAGCTTGTATGAAAAGCTGCATCGAAACCTTCTAAATACCTAAATGGAAATGTAAAATTTTAAATTACAGCAAACCTAAAATGCTAAAGTCTAAAGAATATTGTTTATTCACAACGGCCCCCGAAGAGTCCTGACACAGCAGGGTTGCTGCGTCTTCTCCTTCAAGGGCCGTGTAAACAAAAGCCTGGTTGTTGTGCTGTTTGCCAAGGTTTAGTCAAACTCTCAGTATGCAGGTGAAACAGATCCTCCAGGCATAAAAGCCTGTCAGAGGCTGAGAGTTCATAAATCCAAATGGCTATAAAATTTTAAAAGAAGCCGTCTGCTCAAATTGTCCTTTTATTTATTTTTTTCCTTCTTCCTTCTCGGTAGCTGCAGACAGCTGGGGGTTCCTCAAACCACAAGCAGGACATGTTGACAAGCTGGAAGAGGATGTTTTAAATATCTGCTCTAAAGGCAAATAACCGTTTGGTAACAAAAGCAAAGATTCGAATCTTGATACGGAGAATAAGATCTACCGCAGTGCGCGCTGTGGATGTGTGGGCGGCCTGTCAAATTAATGTCTGCCGCTGCAGCTGTTGTTTACAACCATCCAAAACAACAACACATTACCTTCAGCTACAGAAAGAATATTTAAATGATTTTTTTCCTCCTGACTGCTTTGAGTTTAAAATGCTGAGGTCAGATGTTAATTTTTAGATGTAGTGAAATGAAAAAAGTGGGAGGTTTTAAAGTGCATCAGTTCAATGGGATTTTCTTAATCTGAAATTAAAAAACAATTATTTAAATCTGCATTTAATGCAGCCTTTTAATGTTAAAAGAAATCATGCATAATTGTTTCATAATTTAATTATTTCAGACGTGAGCTACAATTATCCGACAGCCTTATGTGTCAAAGGCAGTGGGCGGGGCCAAAACTACTCCAGTCGACATGGCAAAGGAACCTCAGATTTTAATCAATTATACAGTTTAAAAAAGAGAATTTTGTCTAATTAACATAAAATAATTATGGTTGCAGTCGACATTTTTGTTCTAATTTGTGGAAGTTTCTCTGAGCATTTCAAAGATCTGCTCAGAAGTTGATTCATTTCGTCTTTGTTCTGAATGTTTTCTACTTTTGAATCACCTGTGAGGAGTGAGGTCCTTCAGGTTGTTTGGAAATGTCTTTGTAACCTTTCACAGATTTATGGGAGGCAACCATTGCTTCTGATCGCTTGTTGTTATTGTTGTCATGCTCCTGACCAACTTTATAGAAGTTCTCACAATTGCTGTCGACTAGTTTATCGAGGCATATTCTTTCCAAAGGGTGTACTTAGTTTTTCGAAACAAAGTAAAAATGATCATTTTCATCATTATATTCCTTCTGAAATGGCTTAATAGGAACTCTGGATGTTTTAGGCAGATGGACAGGATGAAACATGCTGCAACCAACTTAGACATTTGAATAATGCAACAGAACTTTCCAATGTCACCTCTTGAAAATGTTACAGCGCTCTCTTTTTATCGGCAGCACTTTCAAAAATGATTAGACGAGTACAATTCCCTGACCTGCCACTGAAGGACACAAAAACATGAATGCTTTTCCAGCAGCTCTGCTGTCTTTTCAGTCTTGTTTTCGTGCATTGCCCTCTCCTGGTTTTATGTGATTTATCTCTGTGTGTTGTGAAGGTTTTCACCTCAGTGTGTAAAGTATCTTTCCATTGTTCCAGATGCGGAGCAGCTGATTGGGCGTCGTAATCCAGTGCGAGTCGGCGTTCTTGGAATTTCTAAAGATGGTGTCGGGCAGCCAGATCAGGCCGACCATATTGCTGGTTGAACAAGAAACAAAGAGAGAACAAGGTGAGGCTTCACTGCAGCAGACTTCCTCCAGACTTCTGTGAAATGCATGAGTCGGCCTCCCGTCTCAATAGGAGGATAATAAAATACCCGGGCGACTTGGGGAAAACAGCACATCAATCAATTTGTTCCATTAATTACAGGTTAGTACGAGACGGAAAGAGAGGAGAATACTGTTCTCAAATGAGATATTGTCTAAGAAAAGGTGCTGAAACAGAAGGACAAACTGTTATGAAGTTAGTTGTAGAAAAGCTTCTGATTACAAATAAAGCACAGTTGTAGCAAATACACTGTACCTATTGAGGGTCAGAATCCGCATGCTGCTGCTGTTATACCGCAGACGGGTGTCCACCCAAGACTGGGCAAAGATAATATCGATCTGGTACTCCTGGGGAGAGAAAAGAAGAGTCGATATAGTGATCGGACAAGGCGTTTTAGTGAGATACACAGGCGGAAAGATTTCCAGAGCAGGTCTGTGAGCTGATCGCTGTGCTGGAGAAGTTGAGCGCAAAATGTCCACATCAAAGAAAACCCTACAGCAGCGCAGCCTTCACTGCAAAACCATATTATGCTTTTGATATGAAAATTTAATTACAGCATCTCTCAAACTATTTACTTCAGCATATTTTCTTTCACCTCGGCGATGACCTTTGGTTTAATTGTGCAAGGTTTTACCGTGAGAACATTGAATCAGAACTTTCTCATTTAGCTGATATTCAATAATTACATTTCTATTTACCCAAAAGGATTATTTCTCTTTTTTTATTTGTTTGGTGGTTGCTTGTTTCTTCACATAAGCTGTAATTAAGACCCTGAAAAGTGTTGTTCTGAACGCTCGCTTTGACAAAGTGCTTCACATCCAGCTTGATCTTTCTTTGCTGATTGCCGGGTTTGAAACTTGTCAAACAACAGAGCTATCAATTTTTAAAAATCCAAATTTTAAAAAAATCAAACGTGAACTTTGTAAATTCATCAGAGAAGAAAAATGTGTCATGTTAAACAAATCTTCATGGACGTTTTGTGCTGTGTGACAATGTGTTTTTACATTTAGATCATGAATAATTTGGTTCATATTGAGATATAAATGGCTTCTTTAACTGAATCGAGTTGCATCAAAGATTGTTAACATGTGAATCAGTTTGGAGTGTTTTACTTTGACAGGAGCAGTTCATTATCAGGCCAAATGGGGTTGTTGTAGCATGATGCTAACATTTCTGTCACATTGTGTTTCTGATATCAAGCCTGGGTATTCAGTGATTAATTAAGGGCTCTACATAGCCTACAAGTAGCTTACAGGCAGTGTATTAATAACTGAAACCCTCCCATGATATAAACTGTACCACTGCTTGTGCTTGTATCATTTCATAACTCCTTCAAATGATCTGCCTGTTGGCTCTGAGTCCCTTATTTTCTGCCGGGTGGAGTTGTCATTGTCGCTTAATCTCTTTATCCTTTTGTTGGGCAACAAACAATTTTATCTATAAAAGAAATGCATAGAGGAAGTGGAATAACACAATAGATATTAGATTCAAACTTTGAGCCTCAGCTGTTAATGAGCTCTGGGTCTCCATGATGGTCAGGGCCTTCAAGGGATATTCTCAGGACACACACGTCAGCTATAAGGCCAGGCTTGGAGAAGTCTTTCCCAAGCCTTTGCTGATATGAAACTGTCATTTCAGGGGCCATTATGATTTAGTGATACAGAGCCTTGACCATCCTTGCTGGTGAGGGGCTGATATAGGAGGATTTTCTCTTCAGGACAGTTTTGTCTTTTCCAAAAGACGTTCAAACTCTGCAGGAACTTTTTATTGTTTTTCAGTGAAGCATTCCTCCTTTTCTGCCTTTTCTTACATTTATTAAAAAGACAGACCTTATTACTGCTCATTGACGGGAAAATACCATGCTGATGATGACGCCTCTATAATTTACTGACTACATAAACAGAAAAGCAGCAACTGTTTCGCCTTGAAGATGAACACATGGGACTCTTGGCTTTAACTGGGTCTGTTTGGAAAGTACATGACAAGGCACTGAAGATGGTCCATTATTTATGGACATTACACACAACGATGGAGTGCAGTGTTGACAGATATCTGATTAAATTTAACTGCACCAGCTGTTTTGCTCCCCTTGGGATCAGTGCCAGGAAAATGAGACCTAAAGCAGACTGTTACTTCGGGTCAAACAAACAAACGAATGAACCGCTGACCTGATCATGAGCTCATATAGCCCTGTTCAACTTTACTCCCTTTTCTTTCATTTAAATAAAAAAAATAAACAAAACTTGAATCTAGATAGTAATAACATGACTTCTGAATGAATACACTGTTTCTTTTTTTTTGGAGAAAAGAGGGTTGAGTAGCATTTTCTCTTCACTGAGGAACAACTATGTTGTTCTAACACATATAAAAACAATAAAATGCATTGAAATCTGTTGCTGTAATATGACAAAATGAAACAAAAAATTTAAGCAACGTCAAAACTTTTGCACTGACTTGTGTAGCGGATGTGTTTGGCATCATTTACTGCATAAATATTTCATAACACGCCAAATTATTTCCTGTGTCCCTTAATGGGACAAAGGAAACTCATTAGTACTTTCAGTGCGAGGAAAATACATTAATCTCCATGTAAGCAGGAAGATAAATTCATGTGTTTAAAACATTAATAAGATCCCAGGTTCAAATTTATTTCATTTATATGACGTTGAAGCATAGGTTTAACATTGAACTCAAGGAAAACACATTTTGAGATCTTTGAACTGATGTCTGAGTGTAAAACAACAGATTTGTCTTGAAGGAAAAGCAGGTCAGCACTATGAAGCGAAATCCATTATTAAAGAGAAAGGATGCATACAAGGCACGTCTGACTTCATTAGCTACACTCTACCTGCGTCACAACAACTCACATTGTCCTCATCATTTTCACATCAGGTTGCTCCAGCCACACTGGACACACGTTTATCTATCACCCGGATTCGAGCATTGATCACCAGACGGAGCAATGTTAGGATGTATATTTGTGAAGATTAAAATCCTGAGCCTTAAAATGCCAAAGCAGGTATTTTAAAAATCAGCTAGATTGGTTGAGGCAGGATTCTCATGATTACCAATCTTCTAAGTAATTACAATGATTCATCCATTGTTGAGCACTTGTTGTTTCAGTACCTGAGGGGAGTTTGTTGGAATAAAGATGCTAAATTACTTGAATAGAGCACTTGGTATTACTGAAAGTTTAAGAGATGTAATTATTTTGAAGGTTTTTTAAAAGTGCCTATTATTTTGGGGTCTTATTGCATTCATAAAGAATATTGTTGTTTCATAGCTGAAAATTTGATGGTCGAGATCCCAAATGGCGTCTCTCTGTTTAGGTTTTTTCAGTGTTTTAAGACATGATTGGGGAAAAACTCCAGATCCTCCCAAATCCTGAACAGGATTGACATAAAAACTGGATTATTGGAGACCTTAGTCCTTTAGCTGTAGCTCAATATTTGACAAACTGGATTAACATTTCTATGGTAATGGCAGAAACTGCTAATGTTAAATATTTAAATTAGATTTTGACTGAAGATCGATACCATAAAGATTTCTTTTTAATGTAAGCCAAAAAAAAAAAACAGTTTTTCTCCCATCTAATATTGTCATCTTTTACTTTGTTTTTCCATTTTGTCTATTTTTAGGGACGTTATACAGAGATTTGGTATTGCATTATAGATCATGACACACAAATGGAGTTTTTATACAGTTTTGTACATTTTCTTCAAATGCCTCCTTTTAGAGGCTTTATTGAAAATAATGACCTGCAGCTTAGATGTGGAACAGCTAAATATTCTTAGCCACACCTGATTGGTCCTTGTTTTTGTATTTATGTGCTTTAAGACGGTTGACATCAGAACTGACTGACGATGACAAAAACCTTTATTGTAACTGGTGTAACAACTTCAGTAACACATTTTATCTCTATTTCAGATGTACAGAGCTTTGACAATGCGTACCTGTTTTCTCACGTTACAAAACAAGATTGTTCAATGCTGTTGTATCTTTGGGCCTTATGAGTGGTTTGCACCTTGCAGTGATCTCTCTGTATTTACTTTCATGCAGCTTTTTTCTTTATGGGAGACTTTAATATTGATACATGCACATCCTGGAGAGTTTTGTTCGCTTGGTATTCTGCTGAGATGGGGTTTCACTTCACCCTAGAAATGATTTTGCAATCATCATATCTTCTGTGGACATGCAGCTCTTTTGAGTTGTGGAGTTCATCAGCGCTTTCTTCCTTTCAGGAAACGGCAATCGGTAGATTTTGACTCATAATATGGTAGCAGTTTCTTGGATTTGTTGTTTCCAGTTTCAAATCTTAAGGATAAATCTTACAATGGCTAAGGAACTCAGCAGAGTTGATTTTGTCTGTGGGATTTTATTTAGGAGCATCAGCTTAAAGGGGGTTGAGTACAAGTTCATACCACACATTTTTTTTAATGAAAATATCTAGTGTATTTTTCTTCTATTTTGCAATTACACACAGTTTGATCTATTCAATTTCAAAATAAATTTGAGCACTCTATTTCAAAAACACTAGACACCATGCAATGATCTGCTAGAACGCTTTTGAGCTTCCAAAAAGATATTTTAATGCTTACAGGCTCTGCCTGCTTGCATTTTATGTAGGTTTAAGTTCTAGTAATGTGTGTTGTGATCTGTAATAAAAGTACTACTTGTGGAGCTAAAGATAATTTTCTTGCTAAATGTAGTAAAAAGTGAGTTTGGGGGCTTCATGTGTATCTCACTGATAATGGTTTCCTCTCTTCTACTGCTGATCAAGTGGAATCCAGAAACACTGTGTTGCAGTTTCTGACATGGAGATGTGAAGAAAAGGGAATCTCAAGCTAAAGCACAGATCACTGACTAATGCGTTTCTTCAGGCAAAACCAATGCTGCACAGCTGGTATAAATATTTATGAGTGAAATATTAATATCTCCTTGTACTTGGAAAATTAGTTGCTGGTCCACATTTAAAATTTGAGGAGTAAAGAGAAACGGGAACAAATCCTCCCAGCTGTGATGAGGCCCGGTATTTCGATATTCTGGTTTGTTCTCATCGTGGCCGTGAGTAAGCACGGAAAATACCCGGAAAGTACCCCTCTGCAGCCTCACAGTGATGCCCCACCAATGGTGACAGGCAGGCATGAAGGTAAACAGCCGACCTCTCACCGCTACCGCTTAAGGCTGACGACGAACTTCTGTCACATGAGTAATAAGCACAAAGCAGAGCAGCACCTGCAGACAAAAGACGCGTTTTGAAGGCAGCTTTTGTCCTGATGTGGAGGTAATTTCACAAACGCTTTTGTCTTATTCGCTGGAAAAAAACAAATAAAACGGGACGTTTGAA